CAGAACGAAACCAAGTAAGTCCAGTTGCATAAGAGTTTTCTCCATGCCATAAAGTGTTGCAAATTCGAACTATAAAAGCTATTTGTGAAATACAAAACCCGTTACAAACTATAAACAATGTCAGTGATTAAAGTTTAAATTGACATTTTTGAACATTCTATAATTTAAGTATTAGTTTAATTTCAAATGTTCGTAGTATAAGTTAATTTGTTTGAAAAACGTTTAAAATAATGATAATTGGTTAACCAAACATTTTCTCAATTATGATAGGTAGAATAAGGCATTTCTCAGACAATTATTCATGTAAAAGTATATAAAAAAATATTCTAGTTTCTGTGTTCATAAAAATATTGTTTGAAATTGAAAGAAAAATAAGTAATAAATGTCATCTTGTGTAAATCTTACAAATTTTGCTTTTATTCACTGCTTCCTACCAAAAGTTAAATAGTAAAGGTTAATTAAAAGAGCATGGAACCGCCCCTATGAGGTAAGGACTCATGCTATTGATAAAAATAAAGTGTTTTTTCTTGAGGGACAGTGTAGAAAATGAACATTCCTATCTACACTAATAAAATCCTATCTACACTGTGAACATTATTTATACAAAGTAAAGCTGCCGGAGGCGATGTTAGCAATGATAAGGTAAGAAAGTCTAGTTCGTCTATGTTTGTCATTATTAATATTAAAATTTCTTATCAGAACCTACACTCAATGGAAAATTAGATATAAATACACCCAAATGACATTTTACATAAAAAAGGGCGCCCAAACGGATAATTAATTCTTATACACACACAAAATTTACACACCAGAAACAAAATTAATCACCAAATTAAATAATAATTATAATATAATAAAAATAAATAAATAAATATCAAAATAATAAAATAACCCCTACCAATCACCAAAAATTACATAAGAATATACAACTCTTGTTTAATGGCAGAAGTAGGTACATCATCATTTAAAAACGTGGAAAAGTATGTTACTATTATGATTTACAACATACATTTTAATTGTCGGAAGATAACAAAGACAAATACATCTGTAGTTGGCATATGAAAAAT